GATAGTAAGAAATAACTTACCAGACCTCATTTTACCTACGCATACCAGATGGGCAACGCAGGATAAGCCTAATAATATAAGAAGGTATAAACCTTCTGCTCTGTATGGGAAAACTTAGGGTGGGTATTGCAGGGTGATTGATAGGTGTGGACATCCAGGCGACTAATAAACCTACCCTAGCCCCATAACTAGTTTACTAAACAATATCACTAAACTCAGAACCCTTGAAATCTCTTACCTAGAGTTAACACTACTCTAATTGCTAAACCCCAAACAACGACAATACAACAAAAGTTAAACGACAACAAAAGTTAAAAGTTACCTACTGACTAAACAAAATAAACAAAAAAACTAAGCCAAGCTCATCAAAAACCGGGGTGCCCACACCTTTCAGTCACTTCTGCACAAGTTAATAGATCACTTTGACGTCTTCTTAAGGCAGCTCCCGGAGGCTTCGCCGCTGGGAAACGCGCGCCCTGAAAAAATTGGAAATTTGACCTGAAATTTATAACATTCACGAAAAACTAAATTAACAAACCTCAACCATAGGCCATCTGGTTTAAAAATCGAATCCTCGCCGCTATCCACTGAGAAGCACTTTCCTGAACACGTTCTTCCTGGTCCCGCAGTTTTCCGAACTTTCGGCAGTTGAAGACGCCTGTGATGTCGGCGAGCTGTTTTTGCGAGCCGAAACTATCTAAAATCAGAAATCTAAGCAAAAAGATCCGACAGTAAATAACAATCGACCACATACCCCTGGTCCCTGATCGGACCGCCCGCTCAAAGGATAGGCGGCTGCGTGCTTCCCGGTTGGACCGTTGCGATGGTGACCTAAACATTTAAGTGATGAACATATATAATCCTGTAGACAAATCCCATGAATGTCAGGCGAGTCCTTGAATAGTGGGCGACCCTTACTAGGATTTAAGCTAACGCAATTTTTTCAAATAAAATTTTGCGCGGAAAGAACTATAAGCATCCTTACCGGGACAATTTTGCGGCGAACTAGTCCCGGTCTCGTCGGCTCTGTGGTGATCCTCCTTCCATCTTTACAGTTGAGGACGTGGAGCCTTCAAGTTTGAGTTTTGAAAAGTCCTCCAAGCAAAAATGGGCCGGTAACGATAGGGACGGCGTCAACCTGAATGAGTACAATAGAAAGGTGAACATAAAAGAAAACATTGGTGATGGCATACTTGTGATCCCCGTTCGAGATCGCCTCACGACTGTGCCGTCGAACCAAGTTGAGCCGTTCCCGCCAGTCCACACATATCCGTGCAAAAGACTCGACAATTGCGATGGTCAGCTGCATGAACATATCGAAGAACGCAGTGCCGAAATATTGTCCCACTTCGGTGAAGACGGCATTGACCTGAATGAGTGCAATAAGAGCACATAAAAAAGAACGTTGGTGATGACATACTTCTGATCCCCGTTCGGATCGCTTCACGACAGAACTGCCGAACGAAGTTGACATGTCCCCGAGGTCCTGCACCTATCCAAGCGATTGCAGGCGAGAAACTCAACAACGGGGTTTCACAGTTGCAGGAACCCATCGAAGAGCCTCCTAGACGAGGATTATGGCGGTGTCGGTGGGGACCGAATCAACCTGAATTAGTAGGATGAGAAGGTGGACTTTAGAAACATTGGTGATGACATACTTCTGATCCCCGTTCGGATCGCCTCACGACAGAACTGTCGAACGAAGTCGGTCCGTCTCCGTGGTTCTATACCTATCTGAGTGCTTGCAACGAAACGACCAGACGATCTTGTTACTAGCTTCATGACCGAGTCGAAGTCCTCCAGCCGAAGAATAAGCCGGTGATAGTGAAAACGGTGTCAACCTGAACAACGTGTAGAAAATAGACCCTCAACAGGACATCTAATGATGACATACTTCTGATCCCCGTTCGGATCGCCTCACGACACAATCGTCGAAAGAAGTTGACCCGTGTCGAGGGAACTGATGTCAAGATTTTCATCAGTGGTTTTACATCTCAGTGCACACTGAACAGATTCCTGGACGAGAATGGATCAGTATCCACCTATAAGGGAACCTGCAAACTTGACGTGTGATTGAATTTCCTCGCAGGAAGCATCTTCACATCCGCAAGGATTCTACCTACACTCACATTGCATAGCTGACGGTGCTGCGACTTTTCTGGCAGCTATCCGACTTGCTGAACGATCCCTTCACCACAACGTCACTCTTCAAGTCTTTTGGAGCAGAAGGCAGGCGGCAATTTCTGAAAACTGCACCGAAAGAATAGCGTCTGAAAAGGAGAGTTCGATGAGCACACATTGAATAACAGCCGAGCCTTGCAAGATCTCCAACACTTCCCATTGGTAACTTGCCACCTGAAGGTGCGAAGAAATTTGTAGGAAGTTCGTAGAATTCTGTGAATCTCCTCTCGTCATAGAAACGGCTATAAAAACTTCATGCAACTTGCAACAGCACTGTATCTTCATGCTTCAATACGGCCTCTCAGCATGCGATAACGGCTCTTATTGACTCCTAAAACCAGTCGATTACTGGACAATCTAGTCGACGTCGACTCTGTCATTCCCAAAGGGTGTTCTTCAGTGACTTCACGTTGGAATGACTAGAATGCAAAGTAGCACAGGACTCCTGTTCAAGATAGCCCCATAGAGCACAATTCACAGGATCGAGTTTCGGCAACCAATTCTCAGCAGCCATGAACGTTGGTGGGTGAATCCAGCTCCACTGCTAAACAATTTTGGCACTGTGGGGTTGTCGATGTCTTGCTGGTATGTCAAAAGCGAGAGATTTCGGAAGGCAGCATCTCGACCTAAAGAATGGTATTCAAGTGAAGCTCCTGTTGATTTTTTTCCTGGCTCGGTGAACCCAAAGCGGATTCTCGTCACGTTACACAGTCCAGCTAAAATTGAACCCGGCATTTCTTCGGGTGTGCTATTTTTCCTGCACGAAAGAGTAGCCTTCTCGCCCAAAAATGGGGGGCCAATCCTAGCCATTTCATGACGATGGTTCGTACGCTAATCTCGACACTTCAGCTGTCGGGCACCTAACGCGTAGTGCGCGGATTTGGATTAAATGGTTTTTAGTCGACATTCTTTTGGAAGGCGTCCCTGGGTTGATTCATTATCACGGTGAGTTGTGTACCTGATCGTGGATGATCCTCGATCTCCCAAATATTTTGAATATACTGCCGATCTGCCAGGCAGTTCCCCGAATTGAATGAAAAATAGGCCTTCGTCGTGCTGGACTCGTGCATGTCAACTCGAACATGGGGTTACCAATCCAGTGCGTCCATGAACATTCTTCAAGAACCCCAGCGGAAAGCGGAAATCCAAATGTGATTTTATGAAGAGGTGTAATTGACTTTCGTCGCACCCTGTACCCGCTAACTGCGTAACCATCCAAATTTGACGAGAGAGCCGGAGCTCCTAAGGCCTATGCGGCAGTTCGCAATGTGTGCCCCTCGAACCCTCATCTCCTGAAGTAAATTCTTTTCTCAAAAAAAAAAAGCTGCTCAGCTTTTGCATTTCCGCCCGTCCCTTCAGGAGTATCTCGCAATTGCGCAGGCAGACTTGGCGGATTGCAATGGTAATTGAGAAGCAGCCTTCGCTGATCTATGAACTCAGGTTCTGTCTAGAATCGTCGTATCCGTCCTACGAAGATTATTCATGTCGCCCGCATTGCCCGTCGTCGCCACTTCGTGATCCGTTCGTGGTCTGAAGAACGCAAAAATATCATGCACAACTGGTATCCACTTCAAACACCTCTAACCATTACCTTTTGAGTGAATGAAAACACTGTGATGATATTCAGCAACTTTTCTTAATTTGCGGCCATCGGCAATTTCAAGGCCTGAAACTCTGCCTTTGAAAAATTGTCTTTGAGTTTCTTCTAGAAACAAAGAGATGCGCCGAGTTAGCTCGTAAGAATCAGAAAGAGATTAGTTTTAGAGAGTTGAAGAAAGTGAAAATCATCATAACAAAAAACTGTCGCGATGTTTCCCGAAATTACTTAGTAAAGACTAGTTCGATGAGTGAGTTAATATCACAATTACTCAGGCAAAAACATTTTGAGCAGAAACTGGACCAATAAAGTAAAAGTGTAAGGATTCAAATGTAAATGGAAGGGACTGAGAGAGAACGAAATCTCTGATGTGATTATCGAAAAGCCTTTACAAAACATGGAGAAATTTGTTCGCGCATTAGCGGCGGCTTTGAAATAGATACAAAGGTCACTGTTTAGTACAGAATAAACAATATCGAAAAAGCAACAAGTAACAGGCAATTCATCAACTTGAACGGGAAAATGACGTAAGGTTCCATCAAAAATTACGAGAAGTTCACTCATTTTGAACCAGCAGAAGTAGAGATCAATGGACTAAAGGCATGCCTGCCGGAAAGACAATGGTTCATGCATGTCATTGTCTAGTCTTTCATCGATGATACTCCTCACATCGGTTACACAAATAAGATCCTCACTACATATAAACCACAAATGTCTGCTTGTTTGTCTGTATGCTTTTAGTTTGTCTGTAACAATCTTATATGGCGCCGTTTGGAAAAAAATTGGAACAGATCAGACGTTTGGAAAACAATTGGAACAGATCAGACAGGTTGGAACAAGTGGGGAATGAGCCGAACTCCTTGGGTACACGTGACTCAAACCAGCCTATTCACGCACGCTTCGCCCACTAAAGGCGGGCGTGCGCGAAAAGTGTAGCTCACTGGGAATCTGTAACTCTTGTTCTCCTGGCTTAGAAAATTCAAATTTGGCAGAGATGAGACAGCAAGATGGGAAAACTAACGGGAAGTGACAGCTGTAGACTCCGCCCACTAGGGACGGGGTTTGCGCAAAAGTATTTGATTTAGACCTGGGGCGTTCAAATTTGGCAGAGATGCAGGCGGCAAGATGGGAAAACTAATGGCAGGTGGCAGGTGTAGACTCCGCCCACTAGGGCGGGGTTTGCGCGAAAAAAGCTGGACCTGCCTACAATAATTTTTGCGTAAATTTCCATCAAACAGTATATGGCCAACGAGATACGCGTGCGTTTGAGAAATTCAAGTACAAATAAAATCCCATTTAATTTTCAGTGAAGTCCACAATGGTAATCCAACTCGTAATCTCTAGGCTCTTTTTTGATTTTTGGATTGCCTTGATTGATATATGGATAAACGAATGCAAATGGTTGCCAAAAGTAGTTTGCTAAAATTGTGCGTTTTCAATAGACGGCTTATGTCGCTATTAGGTGGTGTGGGAGAACAGCACTCTCCATTTTTTTTTTCGGAAGAAGATTACAATATTGTCAAGACGATCACGTTCCAGGTTATCTTCGAAAATCATTCATCAGAAGCCATGAGATGGGCACGGTATCGTGCGCAGGCCACGTCTGAAGCCAAAACATTATGCAAACAAACAGAGAGTCGTTACACATTGAAATGAGTAGACCCAAGAATGGTTCACAGAAAGAACTCTGATGAAGAATTCAAATAAAGACGAAGATGGATGCAACTGTTGATAAGGGATTACATCCGAGACCTATTCTCACCTAGACAAGTCAGTTTTAATAGCATGACCAGAAATAATAATAAAAAAGAGAAGCAACAGAGAAAAAGTAGAGTTGAAGAGAAAGAAAGGAAAAGAAAATGAGGAAAAGTCTGGGACAGTAGGCACAGCCGACTTGTACAGTGGACGGGTACTCTTTTCTCGCCTTTTTCTTTTTGAATTTCCTGATTTCAACGCGATGACTCTTCTGGATTCAGGATACATTGAAAGACTCACACTTCACTGCTACCTCAAAAGGATTTAAAAAAAAAAACTTCTAGCGGATCGAATTTTCTGAAAGCGTCATAGAGTAAAGTTAGGCCAGCAAAAACAAATAAAACAACGAAGTAATTTACCGGAGAAAAGGGCACACTGAGGAGTCCGATTGTTCACAGCATTATTTATGTCCTGATAGCAAAATATTTTAAGAATGTTGCTTTTGATGTTTGCTACACTAATACCACTCATTCCGGGGCAAGTGCCAAGCTTGAATGACAACAGAGCTGACCTGGCACCCAAGTCCAAGGTGGGAAACTATTATGTAAAATCGCTGCAATTCTGAGGCTCGACTTAAAAAAAAGGATTTTAGGGCAAGATCACGGCTTCTCTTCCGACCGCCGACCGTTACCAGCCATCACTGCTACTATTGAGTCTCTCATTCTCAACCCACTGGCGACCGCATCTTTATATTGTCCTTACATTGACTTGTAATTTCTCTTATAGCTGTAGTTGAAAATGAAAGATTCCTGACAACAATGCCTCAAGATTCCCTAGAAAGCTGTGAGCTCAACTGATACTTTAGAACATGAAAAAATTATAAGAACACTTGGTAAATAATATAAATCCTACAGGAGCACGATATGGTGTGGCCCGCCAGCGGGCCACGCAGTCGTCAGTGGGTTAACTAATGTGGACTGTTGTCATGCGCTGTGGCTTAT